TACACTCCTTCTGAGATCAATGGGAGTTCCATGCACTCACGTTAGGGCCAAGTTTGGCTCACGGTATGGAAAATAACAGGGGAATTCACTCCACCCTTATATATTATAGCAAGTTTTTTTAGGCTGTTTCTCAGGGTGTGTCTATTCTGCAATTAGACACCCATGACTGGCCTGTGCCAGCTGACTTGGGCTTATGGGGCTTGGGCTAAGGGGATGTTTAATTGCAGCGTAGACCTCCAGGCTCAGGCTGGGGCCTGGTCTCTAGGACCTTGCAAGGGGGAAGGATCCCAGAGCTCAGGCTGGAGCCCAAGCACAGAAGTCTACGCTACAATGAAACAGTCCTGCAGCCCAAGTCAGCTGGCATGGGACAGTGGCAGGTTTTTCTTTACAATGTAGATGTACCCTTAGTGTTTTATTCTTCCTGAGATGATAGGTTACCAGGAAGGGCAAAGCACATGCAGGTGATTCACAAGCCAGGGGGTGTAGAAGCCCTTAGGAAGGGTTTCTTTTGGAGGTAGAAGACAGAGCCCTTAGCAGCCTACCTAACTTTGCAGTTACAACAGTGGAGAGGAACTGGGAGTGGGGGGAGACCAAGGTACCTTCAGAGGGGTGGGAGAGGCTGGTCCAAGAGAGACTATAATGGCCCAGGTTGAGGGAAGGTAGATCTGGGCATGATATAGGAGCGTTAATTCATACTTGATCAGGATTTGTAGTCCCTAAATGTTGTTCCATGGGGCTGAGGGTCCCTGGGCAGCATAATGCCAATATTTAACCTCAAAAAGAAGAACAGGAGGACTTGTGGCACCTTAGAGACTAACAAATTTATTATATTTATATATATTATATAACAAATATAATATATTTAACCTGTCCTCTAGAAATGAATTAAACTCTCCCTGTGTAGCCCACTAGGTGTCAGTGTATGGAAAGAATGGCTCCACGGAGACAGATTATGTTCTCAGTAACACCTGGGAGGCTCCAGAGTAACTCCCTTGATTTCATAGGCATTACTGCAGCTTATAACTGCTATAACTGAGATCAGATCTGACCCATTACTTTTCTCTTGGATTTTCTACTCCAACCTTAACTCAGCGTGAATGAAATTCATCCCTGAGCTGAAGCCTAAACACCACGTAAGTCTCACTTAAGATCTGTTTTGAGTGCTTAAGTGGGACTGCAGTGGGGCATAGATCTCATGACAGCCCTCTTGACCAGGGTGAATTACCCCCTGTAACAATAGGCTTGTTGGCCCAAATTCAGTCAGTGGAGTTCCATCTGCTGGGCTCGCAGTTCTAAGTGGTACTGAGCATCTGTGCTGGAGTCAATGAGTGCTACAGGTGCTCAGCACGTCTTGGGGCCTGGCCCATAGATTGTATCTAGACGGTAAGCTCTTTGGAGTAGGGACTTTGAGCCAAATCCTGCTCTTGATTGCACTGGTTTAAATCCACTGATTTCCACTTTTTGACACTGGTGTAGCAGAGAGCCTGATCCAAAGCCCACTGGAAATCAATGGAAGGGCTTCCACTGAGTTCAGTGGGCTTTGGGTCATGCTCAGAGAGAAGAATTTGGCTCAGTGCCTTCACACATGCATGCACCTTGCACAGTGTTAGCGCTGTATAAATAAAAATGACAAAATGTAATAATAATTCATCAATACTGCCAGGGTCATTATGAGGACTCAGAAAAATGCACACTCTTAAAAATGACAGCAAAATTAGACAATAAGAGCAGCAGCTCATTAAAATAAATGTTTGATTTATTTTATTCAAAAGGCGACTTCACAAATAAGATGGACAATAAAATCTAGGAACCCCCCCCCCAACAGAAAAATAACACTAAAGAATAAACTTGGAAGAGTAAAGACTCTCCCAGGCCTAGGAATATCAATATGCACCTGTGATGTTCCCCTCTGGTGTTGTCTGGACCAGTGATCTGCTAGGCCACTCCAATCCTTGACTCTGGGAGCCAGCCTCACCCTGCTCCGCTGTGAGAACCCCCACTCCTGGGATGTTCACGCACAACCTTTGCATGTAAGCTGCTCCCAGATACTTGCAAGCAAATGACACTAGCCAATATCTCCGGTCCCAGATGCAACCCTAGGAACCTCTGTCTTGCAGTGTCCAGTTATGCCCACTGGATACTGCAAGCTTATATGAGTTCGTCAATTTAACAAAGAAACTGATATGTACCAGGCTTGTTATCCCAAGGGGAGTCTCTTTCATGCTTCAAACCAAACACACTGCTTCAGGTAGAATAAACAAACAGATTTATTAACTATAAAGATAGATTTTAAGTGATTATACGTCAGAGCATAACAAGTCCGATTTGGTCAAATGAAATAAAAGCTAAACACATTCTAAGCTGATCTTAACACTTTCGATGTCCTTACAAACTTAAATGCTTCTCACCACAGGCTGGCTGGTTACTTTTCAGTCAGGCTCTCCCCTTTGATCAGCGTTTCAGTCGCTTGGTGGTGGTGGTGTCTGTAGATGTAGGTGGAAGAGAGACAGCATGGCAAAATGTCTCTCTCTTTTATCATGTCCTTTCTTTCCTCTTGGCTTTGCCCTCCCCCTTCAGAGTCAGGTGAGCATTACCTCATCGTAGTCCCAAAGTGACCAAAGGAAGGGGGTGACTCACTCGAGGGTCTAACAGATTCTTTTGTTGCTGCCTAAGCAAGTGTCCATTGTTCCTGTGAGGCTGGGCTGGGTTTGTCCCATACATGCCCTGATGAGGTGTGAACTGCCTCTCTGTTCTTGGAGAGTTTTTGCCTGGGCTTGTTTTAAGCCCTGAGGATACATTTTCAGCCTCATAACTATATACATGAAATTATAACCTATAACCTTACTATAACATTACTGAAACGATTACTATAACATCACTATAACAACCATGCTCGGTGCATCATGAGCCTTCCAAAGACACCCAACATGACAAACTTTGCATTGGATACCACACAATCATTTTATAAAGAAGAACCTGGGGGTGTAGGGTGTTCCCCCGAGGTACAGAGCGTCACAGCATCACAAATTATTTCCTCACAAAACTGTTCATAGGAGCAATAAATGTTTAGGGTTATTCATAATAAGGGCATTGGCTGAAGTATGTTAAAATGGTTTCCCCTAGTTTACGTAAGTGCAAACTATGAGGGGACTCCCAGGGGTTTATTTCCTATGGAGATCCAAGGGGATATATTCCAGAGCCTATTACTTTGTTGTTGCTGTTGATTGGCTAATGGTCTAGGCCTGAATCCTGTTGCTGTCACTGATTGGCTGGTAGTACTGGCCTAAACACAGGTTGCAGATGGTGACTGGTCGATAGTCCTGGCCCAAACACTAGTGGCTGATGATGACTGACTGCTGGTCCAGGCCTAAACATTGGCTGTTGCAGGTGATTGGCTATTGGTCCAGGTCCAAACACTAGTGGCTGATGATGACCGACTGCTGGTCCAAGCCTAAACATTGGCTGTTGCAGGTGATTGGCGATTGTTCCAGGTCCAAACACTAGTGGCTGATGATGACTGACTGCTGGTCCAGGCCTAAACATTGGCTGTTGCAGGTGATTGGCTATTGGTCCAGGCCCAAACACTAGCTGTTGCTGGTGATTGACCGTTGATTCAGGCCAGTAATGTGATGGCTTCACAGGACTGGCTTCTGTACCGACCCTTTGCAGAGGCATTAGGTGACTATATTCTGGTCGAATAAGACTGAAACTCGGAACCTGATTGCTACTTGCTGGCCAGATCTGTAAACTGGCTGCAGAGCCCTGGTGGGAGAGGCAAAATATGAATTTAAAAAATATTTGGAGGTTAACAACTAAACATAATGACTTTAGAATCACTCAAGGATTTAATGGGTAGGGTCCACAATAGGAAATTTCTTTATAAACCTACAACAGGGATCGGCAACCTTTGGCACACGGCCCACTAGGTAAGCACTCTGGCGGGCCGGGCCAGTTTGTTTACCTGCCGTGTCCGCAGGTTCGGACGATCGCGGATCCCATTGGCCACGGTTCGACGTTCCAGGCCAATGGGGGCTGCGGGAAACGGCGCGGGCCAAGGGATGTGCTGGCCACCGCTTCCCACCACCCCCATTGGCCTGGAGTGGTGAACCGCGGCCAGTGGGAGCCGCGATCAGCCGAACCTGTGGACGCAGCAGGTAAACAAAGTGGCCCGGACTGCCAGGGGGCTTACACTGGTGGGCCGCGTGCCAAAGGTTGCCGAGCCCTGACCTACAAGCAACTGCAAAATTTCAACAAATGTATGTCAGGCCCATGAGCATTTCACATGTAACGCAGACCCAGCATGTCCAAAGGAACCATAAACACACCGGGCACTGCCCACAAGTTATAGCCCAGCCATGGAACCATGTCACTCAGAACCAAGGAGAATTCAGGGGAGACCCATGGAATGTTAATGGCCTTATGAACTCATCAGTCACTGACTGCTGTAGCTCAGACATGGAAATTGGCCGTTCAGAACCAGGAAAGATTTCAAGGGCTTCAGAGGAGATCCATGAAATATCACAGTGGTGCACTCTGGATACCTCATCTGTACATATCTCTGGATAACTTCTGGATCGAATCTTTTCCTCCCAAAGATCTACTAACCTGAAGGATAAGCTGGAGTTCAAAAGAAAAGAACATTATCCATGGGGTGAGGTGCCAAGGCCAGTAGTCGTCTACATTTTGATGGTTGACAAATGTTCTCCAACAATAGTTGTAAGCTGAGGAAATAGAAATATCCAGGCACATAAATTAAAAGATACATCAAGAGGCTGTATGCAACTCACTGCTCTATGAGAGGTCAATATGGTTCAAGAAAGATTAAGTTGTTATGTAACTGCTATTAAGACAGAGCATTTTTTTTTTCCTTTTTATTTACTGAGGAAGTTTTAACAGTTTTACAAATCCTTGCCATGTAGATATCAGAGACAAAATAATAGGCATTGTAACAGTGAGCTTTTTTTAGAGAAACATTATACAGTATTAGAATAACCAGATCTCTTTATTGAACAGAGTGCTACCATATTACAGCGTGAGCAACTTTACAGCACATACACCATGTGGCTAACAAACCGGGCACATTGGTTGAATGTTCATATTCTAAAAAATTGGACAAGTGCGCTGGGGGGGTTATGCAGGTGAATGTACTTTGTCAGACTATTGGAAAGCTACAGTTTAGAGCTGAGATAAATGTTGATATTGATAAAACATGCTGAATTGATGGCACTTGAGAATGAAATTTGCAATTTATCCTCAGAACAGGAACAGGATGGGCCACAGTGAGTGTGAAGGTGTGCCTCTCACGCCCTCCCCACCAGTGTGATTTACCAGGAGACCACGAATAATAGTGAAAGAAGTTCAATCTCCATGTTGCAGTCAGCCCTTGCCCTCTCAGCTGAGCCTGACAAAGGGAACAATTAAAGTTCAATGCAGGGCTGGTGTCTGTGATGAAAATGACTTTTGGTCACTACACACCAGTGTCCCTGTTAAAATCAATGACATAGAAATGAAAAGCTCCATAGCCCAGTCCTCCAAACCTGTTGATTCTTCTACCTTCTTTGAAACCAAATGAATGGTTACCTGAGAGGTCCATGACTCTAATGGTGACTCCATTCATTACCAGGTCACGCAGGCCTAGACGGTTGCTTCTGTCTTCATGCCAAAAGAGCCGCGCTACATACATTTCTAGGTTCACTTTGGGGTATGTCTTCAGGAACTCTACCACAGATTGAGAGCATTTCCAGCAAGGACTCCAGGAGAGGAACCAGGTGATGGAGCAGTGGGTCAAAGGATTGAAAGATCTTTCCTTGAAGGCATTTTCCAGGAAGTTGATTTCAGCATGCTGGGTGCTGGTGTTTCGGCACCAGTTTCTCCATATCTTGGTGCTGTTGCCCCATTTAATTTCATAAAGCAGATAAGTCACCTTGGGAAGTACACTCGGGTCATAAACGTCCTTGAACTCCTTTGGTTGTATCTTCCACCTGAAATATGAGCAAGTCACTGTGAAAATGTAATGTCCACCAATGGCACTTTCACTAGCCCTGTTCCACATAGCTAAATCCTGGGGCCAAAGAGAGAGACACAGACCCATGGAGATATAGATGGAGGGACAATGGGCGGGGGGAGGGGGGAGAGATTTGGAATAAAAGTGAATGAGAAAGACTATCTGGAGTCCTCCATCTCCCTTTCTGGAACCCTTGATGGAACTGGTCAGGTTTGGGGATATAGAATGGTCATTCTCACCTCTGGATAGTGCAGTCAGTCAAGTGACCTATTAGAAAAGATAATTAGAAAATCATCTATCTTCTGGCAGCAGAAATACAGAGGAAGACAGGAAGAACCAAAATCCCGCAACTCTGCCTTTTTGTGATCACATAAATCAATTGCATGAGTCTCATAATCACCTGGTCTTAACAGATGACCCACATTCAATGCTGCTGAACGGGATGGAATTCTGACATGCCACCTGTTATACTCCTTAGGGATGGGAAAATCTTTCTGAACCCCATTTCCAGTGATCTGTTTAACCGTGCATGTTAAGCCTTTAGTGAAGCATCAAATCCTCTTTATTACCCAAGATACAGTTAGGCCCAGATCCTCAAAGGTATTCAGGCACCTCACTCCAATGGAAATCAGTGGAAGTGAGACAGTCACTGTCAAGGTCCAACTTTCTTAGGTAAACATGTCTAGTTCCCCGAAAATCTAAAAGGGTGACTGTTAGGCCATTTATCTATGCCAAAGATAGCCTACTTAACAATACTTATGCTAACTTGCTTAAGCTAATCATACAGGATACAAGCCTGTAGATTCCTTGCATTACGGCCAAACGTAATAAAGTAATCTAATACAAAATACAATAAATCAAACAAGCATACCAGCAAATAAAGGCAGAATAGTAATAAAGCAAGTCAGCAGGCTAGCCCTATGGGCTACAATTGAAATCAGTGAAAATATTTCACTTGACTTCAAAGGCCTTTGGATCAGGCCCTATGAACAGCCACAAAAGTGGGGTTTTTGCAGCAATATAGATATTTAGTTACACTGGTGCAAGTTTTTTAAGCCCATACAGACAGACACAAGCACATATGCATAGACACACACAAAAATCAGAAGTGTCTGAGGAAAGATGGGCCCAATGAGATGTACTAATTAAAAAAAGTGTTGCTTTAACTTTCATAAAACAAGTATGTATATCTACTATAACTTGTAATCTAGACTGCCTCAGCTCTGCTGTAGTCTCTCACCTTTTTCTTTGTAAGGTGTCTTGTTTAGTAATTATGTAAGAAAATCATTTACTGTCAGTGATTTTGTTTTCTTTACTGAAAAGATAGTAACTAAAAACACTGTAGATGTATAAACACACAGAGAGCGATAAACAGACTGGATTTATCTACCAAATATACATAATTTATATACATAGATCCACAACAGCCATACAGAGGCACATACATGTGTACACTCATACATTCATATAGCCATGAAGACACACAAATGCACATTTATACTATATGGATATAGTCCCACAAATGCACACTTATATGTATATATTTCAAATGTGTATACACATATGCACTAATGCTGAATCTTTACCTCTGCTCCAGCCAGAAGTCATGGTTTTCCCTAACTACAGCATCCAATGCTGTCTTGTTTTAGTAGTGTACTGTTCTCCCTTTCAGTTTCTATTCCTGATGACAGAAACTTAGGAGATTACACAAACCAGTAGCACGCAGTTGCCAGCAACTGATTATTCAGCTCTTCGACGTTAGGCTCTGAGTGATGTGGGGCATAAACCTCAACGCTGATGCAAAATTGTTCTTAATAAAACTATTTTAATGTATTCTTATAACATTAGGTTGTTACAAACTTAGCTGCACCTTTACTATATTTGAAAAGCTACTTAAAAGTACTTGGATATACATGGGGCTTGGAGAATAATAGCTTCTCTACTGATATTTTAGTTTTGTTTTATTAAATGAAGTGTTCAGGCTAATGCAAGAAACTCCTAGGAAATTCCTGCTTTGTCTCAGTAAAACGCAGGCACAAACAGCGGAAGGGGGACATCTGTCTCTCCCCCCCATCTCCCTTAAGGAATGTGAAGAAATTATTTTTCTGGGCTGAGCCAGGAGCCTCTTCTTTTAACCCTTCTCCCTTTCTAGAGCAAAACATCAGTTTTAAGCTCACACAAGGAATTCCAGCAGTATTCCTATCAAAAACCGATTCCATGGTTAAACACTCTGAAGTCTTCATGTCATTAAGAATCTATGTGACTAACACAGTGGAAGTCACATCCCTGAATGGGCATCAAGAGAGACAGTTATTAAGATGTGGCCCCTCCATTTCTCGTTTCTCTAGACTATAAAATGTAGTAATTTTGGAAATTCATGTACTTGTTGCTCACCAACTTGAAACAGCCGTTTCAGCTTGCAGTGACAAATTGGAGTTACCACAGACACCCAGAGGTGTGGCAGAAATGAAAGGGAGATGGGCAATATTAACTGCAGGGGAAGAAATACATCCTTTGCCACAATACTGGCATTGCTCCCTGCGTGGTAAGGCACTGTAGCCCCAGAACTGTCCTTGAAATTCTCCCCCACCCCCCAGAACACACACAGAGGAGGCACCATGGAGGGCACTTGTGTAGACAGCACTTTGCAGAGGGCACTTGTCAGTTGGCCCAAACAACTGGGCAGAGACTCTGTCATCTATAATTGGGACAGGGATCCTCCAGCAGCCTCTAGGGAGGTTTCTTTGTGTGATAGTATACTCATGGGTGGGAGAAGAGAAAGAATTTACTTGAAACCTGTGGTTTGTTTTTTCAGGCACAGCCTTGTTTCCTTTGACACTCTTCTCTGCGGATCATGGAGGATGACAATGGGTATGGGAGCAATATCCAGGAGAAAACTCAGTACCTTGTCCCTGATGCCAGCAGAGTCACTGGTCACTGATTCCTGGTCACTGGGCTACCAGAGGGAAATATTAGAAACACGTTTCCCAACAGCCCCACCTGGATCTGAATGATCTGTGTCCAGGGCTGATCTATAGTACAGTCTGTGCCTGATGAGTTCATGACACTGTTGAACATTTCCTGGGGTATCCCCTAAATTGTCCCCTAGCTCTGAGTGAGTCAGTTCCGTGGCTGAGCTAGAACAAACAGACAGTGTCCATTGGAGGTATACTTGAATAGTGCGGTTAACTGCTGAAAATATATAACCAACGCCTACAGTACTGTACTATAGCTTTCATGTGCGGTTTCTGTGTAGTTAGGAAAATGTAACAGGGAGATGCTGTGTACATTACTGATAGAAACTGTCAATGCCCCACTGGGGGAGGAAGGGCAGGATGACAGTAACTCTCCCTCTCTCTCTCTCTCTCTCTCTCTCTCTCTCTCTCTCTCTCTCTCTCTCTCTC